GAACATAATATTGATAGTTTTGGATAATGATCTTGATGAGCTTTCCACCATTCTAAAATGTTTAAATCCAATTCCTTTTGTACTTTTGAAGACAAATATTTATCAATTTCATTTTCTTCAGTTTCATCATTATCTTAATCATAAAACTGACTAAATCTGTTAAATCATGGTTAGTTTTTTTTTTAATAGGTCTTATATCACCTTCACCACCACTACCATTATTTTTATCACTAGCAAGTTGAAACGAAAGAATCTCATACTGGTGTCTTATTTTATTTTTTACCCATTCAGCATAAGATTCCAAAATTTTCAACTGCTTCATCCGAGGATCAAAGAATAAAGCTAATATAATATAAATCATGAATTTTAATTCACGCGCGTGAAATAATAAAAATTTGGATACAAATTTTGATTGGTTAATTTGAATTTCATTTCTAATTTTTAGAAATACAATAATAATTAATATTTCCAGGTTGCATAAACATCCAGATTATTCAAACCCGCACCCATTCATAATCAAACCCATATCCAAACTCGTACCCGATAAAAATATATTACAGACGTCCAAACCCATACTGCAATCCGGGTATGGTCCGGGTAAAATTGCGGGACCCGGCCCGTTGCAGGCTCTAGTTCATTACTTACAAAATAGTCACGCGCCCGTTGAATTTTATTATTATGCACTTAATAGATGCTAAATGATTACAGTCAAACCTCGCCACAGCGGATTCATGGTTCCAGCCAAAAAAAATCCGTTATTATTATTATAACAAGAAATACGCAGCGACAAAATTGGAGATAATCGGTAAAAATTTTTTAATATAGTCCATTATATGTATTTTCTGCTTTTGTTCGTTATAGAGAAAGAAATTAATTATAAAAAATTGAGACGGGCGACAAAAGGAAATTCGTTATAGAGAAATTTAATTAGCGTTCGTTATTAATAAACTAAATAAATGAATAAATGAATAAATGAATAAATGAATAAATGAATAAATGAATAAATGAATAAATGAATAAATGAATAA